AACGAGTCAAAGAGCACGCCTTGGGGTCCCCTGTTCGACGGTCTAAAGACAGATTCTCCAGCAGCACCCTCATCTACCTGGCAGGTGACAGAACATCATCTCAAGGTAAAAGCTGGCTGTGTGTGACGTCGAGGTCTGACCAAAGCTGAGCACAGAACGCTTCGCCCTTCTGGTTAAAACCCACATTATTTAAGATAAAGAGTAGAAAAGCTAACACCTTTCTTCAACCTTTTTCTTAACCTTGCCCTTGCCAGCTCCTAAGATAAACAGCCTCAAATGTCTGCTGTTTAACATCTAAGCTGACGTTTGTGTTTCTGTTTAAGTGTGGTTAACAATTAAGAAGTTAAAAGCTTGTTATTGTTGGTCCCAAACTTTTTATAGGAAATTAATTATTCACAATCAGGTGTACTCTATAGTCAATTTGGTATGATTTGTAAAATAAATGATCGCATATCATGGTTCAAATCAACATTCACTGACTGACCGTTACTTTTTGTGTCCATTCATTCTTGCACTAAAGAAATGTTTATTCAAACATTAAAAGAGATCCTTGCTAAATAAATTACTCTTATAACCTTGTTATAAGAAGTGTAAGCTGACCCTTACACTGCCAAGAGTTCAATGTCTGGACTGCAGTGACGAAACTTCACAGTAACATGTCCAGGATGACACCATCTGTTGTTGACAAGCACTGCTAATCCACCTCCTTTCTTTTTCCCGCTGCTCTTTAAATCCCTGTCTGCTCATATAGTCTGGAAGCCTGGCAGAGAGATGTTGGTATCAGGGACATGATCCTGCAGCCATGTCTCAGTGAAACACATAATACTGCATTCCCTATACTCTTGCTGAGTCCTTGTCAGGGCTTGAAGTTCATCCAGTTTGTTAGCTAATGATCTCACGTTACCCATTAGGATTGATGGAGGTGATGGTTTGAACTTCCTCCTTCTCTCTCGCCTCTTTGCTCCAGCTCTGCATCCACGATGCCTCCTTTTCAACTCCTCTGGGATTAGCGGCTTCAGTTGATGTATTATTTCAGATTTTGTAATATTAACATGCTGCTCCCTGTTGTAAACCACCCTGTTGCTATGGTTACGCATCATAACAAAAATCAAAGTATAAAAAAGTATTGGCAAAAACCAATCCAGCTGCACAGTACCCAAAACACAAATGAACAGCCGTCCAAAATAGTTACTTTTTCCACAGAAAGGCAGGAATGAATGCCTGAAAAGAAAAGAAAATCTCAATAAAAGTAACAGAGCTACTCCAACGTGCTGCCACCCTCAGCGGCACAATTCCTCCACGTGTAGGGATCAAAGATGGAGGTCATGGA